AGGAATTTATTTGTCCAAGTCTACAAAATTAGTTCTATTTGTTGGCAAAGCCCATTCTCTTCACTTACTAAATTGTCTCCACATCTCTGAAGATTTCACTTGAAAAACATTATGTAGAAGCGAACATCACAAGCACTGATGTGGAACTATCCAGATAAGGGAGGGCATGTGGCAAGACTGAAGGTGGGTAAAGAGTGAAAGTCTGCACACACTGAGCACTATGATGTAATTTTCCTTTAGGAAAATGTCCTTTAGGGGAAATGCCTGAACCATGGTGTAGCTCTGGGAGGAAGGGGGTTCGCTGCCCGAAGCACGTTCGCTATGAAGCCGCTGAGACCTAAAGAAGACAAGGGCGAGGGTTTGGAAATGAAAGGGTTTTATTCTCAGGGTTCAGTCTCTCCTAGCTCCAAACCCGGTCTCCTCGGCTGGCTCCCTTCCCCCGCCTCTCTCCGCTTGCCCCACCCCCTCTTGCTTGGCTTCCGCGACCAAGCTCCTTTCTCCAGGCTGCCAGGCTCTGCTTCCCCAGCCCCTTTCTCCCAGAGGAACTCCGTGGGCGGGTGCCTGGTGACTGGCCAGCGCCTGACCAATTATGTACCAGGATCTGGAGGGGAGGAGAGAATGGCTGCTTCTCCACCCCTTACCCTACATCAGCGATGCAGTGACTGACCTGCAGCTCTTCTGCTAGTAAACAGCACACTAAAGTGCAACCAAGCTCTTATATGTATATACAGTGGGCACTGTCAAGGTCAGATGGGAATGCTGTTCGAAAACGTACATTTTCCCCACACGTCTTCTCTGGAAATATTCTTAACCTGGATTCAACATACTGAATACATGACTATGCGGCCACCATGAATAATCCACTCAAATTTAAAGAGTACATATAACTGAAGTTGGGAGAGAGAAGAAGAGAGAATGAAGGGAAGACTAAGGAAGTTACTATCCTCATCTTGCAAGATAGGGACTCAAAGAGTGCATGCACAGTAAACGAATTCATGAGGATTTGTATCAGCAAGTGGAGAGAATCTCTGGTTAGGGGAGACACTGAGTCACTGAGAATTGGTTTAGAAATGGCCTGCCCAATAAAAGGTATGCAAAGTTAAATAATAATTAAATGCTATATTTTGTCTGTCAAACTGTCAGAGATTAAAATAAAACATAACACCAAATTATGCAAAGGATATAGTTGCCCAGGTCCATGCTGTATACTGGTGGTAGGAGAGTAAGTACAACTTTACTGAGAGGAAATGTGTAAACAGGTACTTAAAGCTTTAAGATTATTTATACTCTGATTTAATAAGTTCTCTCTGAAGAACTTGTTTTAAGGAACAGAATCTGTGCAACTTATTTATTGCTGGAAGTCAACTTAATATCTTACCTAGATGCTAGTCTTTAAGGCAGGCCCTATGATAACTTTATTAGATAAACAAAGCCAGGTGAAAGGTTTAGAAAAACCTAGAGCAACTTTTCCCAACCAGAAATACCAGTTCTAGAAAATGCTATTAAATGATTAAAGAGATAGTGGAGGAATTTCATGGTGAAATAAATTCAGAAATGCTGAATATGATCCCTGCTTTTTATTGATTTGCAGGCATATTAATATTAAAGTTTGTAAGATCTGAATAAAAGAAATCTACTTTAACTCTGTTTAGCCCAGCATTTCCCAAGTCATTTCGATGTCTCTGTTAACAATCTTTGAAACACTGATTCACAGAAAAACTGCCATGGAGGGATAGTAATGGAAACCCCAAGATGCCTAGACTCTACCTGCTAAATCAACCTTGCTGGACCAAAGATGCTGGGATTATATTTATTGTATTTTTAAAATACCCCAAGGTAATTGTAATCAGAGCCCTCCAAGGCTAAGAAAAATTTGTATAAAGTTGTGAAGACAATATTTGAGTGCCTTGCAAATGGTAAGGGAGTCATTTTTTGGGCCTTGGTTTCTCCTGTCTAGTCACCATACTACGTTCAGCGCTACGTTACCCAACAGGTGCTGGCAAAGCAAGGGCCAGAGGAGATCGAGAATGAGCGTGACACTATTGTTTGTGAGGAGACAGATTTTGAAAAGAAACTGTATTTCATATATTCAAAAGGATTAAAGTAGTGATCCTGTTAAAAATCCAAACTTTGTTGAAAACTGAGTTTTCTTACACATATACTAAGATTTAGTTGGGTTGTTGTTGTTGTTTTAAATATTTTGGGGTATGTCCATAATCATCTAGAATGTTGGGCCTTTAAAGACGTACTCTGACCCTATGCTCACATCCCAAGAGAAGACTCAAAACCCAGAAGTTCTCTCTTGCATACTCTTACCCTCACATGCTCTCTCTCTCTCTCTCTCTCTCTCTCTCTCTCTCTCTCTCGTTCTCTCACATTTTTCTTGTAGTTCCTTTTACATATGTGCTTAGCATAATAAATGCTTTTTGACTGATGCAAAGACTAAGAATCCAGGCCCTAAACTTTACTTCAAGTTGAATCTCACCATTTTGGGTCCAGGTGAGCAAACTGAATAGTCCCTCAAATGGGGAATAGCACAAAGAGAGGGGGGCAGGCCGATTCCATTTGAATTAGGGATTAGCCACTTAGGCACTGGGTGATCTTGGTCAAGGTAAACTTGGCTTCTCTGAGCCTGTTACTTTTCATTCCATAAGAGCTAATTACCACCTTACAGGAATTACATAAACAAAACACGTGGCAGCATCAGGTAGAGCACCTAGCATGTAGTGATAGCTATGTCCTATATCCATCCTGCTTGTCTTGAAAAGAAAAGAATTTACTGAGCCCTCTGAAACATGAATTAGTCTGCTCAGCAATTTTTATTTGTGCAGTTTTTGATAGAAGTCAGAAAACTTGCTCCTCTTAAGTGATTCTGTTTCATACAATTTTTGTAACTTCCGAGGAGGTACTGGATAATCAATAAACAGGTAATCAAAACAGTAAATGCATTGATGAAGAATATAGAAGAAACATATAGGTGCTTCCACGAAGATGTTTATGGCCCAATGGTATATTCAAATTAATTAAGGGCTGCTAATGAAATAGTATATATAGGTCCAAAATCCATTACTTGAAAATTTTAAAGCCAATGCATTTTGAAACTTGGAATATTTCAGATTTTAAAAAGCAATATTGTGTGAGTGTTTGTGTCTGTTACTTAAAACACCCCTAGATGAGTCTGTCTGAGACAGTGTTCGTAACCATACACAACTGGTATTTCCTCAGTGAAATGTGTAATGGTCATGAAGCATAAAAAAGATAACAAATAGATTTTGCATCTAAATGAGTTTGGGTGCCACTTTGAAAGAACACTTTGAGTTCAGAGCTTTGAGGTTTTAGAACAGTGGATATACTGAGGACAGGTTACAGGGGCTAACACATACACACTCAAGTGCAGAGAGGATGCTAAGTTGGAGGTGGAAAACTTGGTGGAAGTTTTGAGTGGAGCAGCATTTGGGCTATCATGAGTTAATGTCCTGTCCCTAGTGAATGAGACGTCCACAACGTCAATTCACCATGTTACATCAGCCATGGAAGCTGTGTTCTGCTTGAGCCACTAGGAGCCCTCAGAGTTTTATAAATTGCCTTCCTGTGATAGTGTCAACCATGAGATAACAGTCTGACCGCTGAGATTGTCCAAAATGGAGACTGGCAGGGGGAAATAGGAGTTCAGCATGGGAACCCTAAGGAAACAAGCTGGTGGGAAACTGTAAGAGGACGTAGTCTCATCTGTGAATGAGAACATACAGGCTTCAATTCCTTGCTAATTCTGGTCTCTCATTTATTCATCCTATCCAGTGGATCCCTTGGCTTCAGTCAGGAAGAAGTCAGTCTTGTTACCCTTCCACATTCCTAAATGCCTTCAGTTCAACTAGTGGGAAAATTCCTCACATGGTTAATTTTCTCTCCTATATCAGCTCTTCTTTCCTCTCCCCCCACCTCACTTCTCATTTTCTCCCTCACCTGAGATAATTTTTTTGTCTGTTTTCTCTGAAAGGGCTTCCCCATCAGGAAGAGGTGGGTTCTGCCCTGGCCAGGTCCTAGCTTCCTGCCACTCCTCCACCCTCTCTGAAATGTTGGGGCCCCTGCAGATGCAGCCCTACATGCTGTTTCTATGAGGTCATTGCCAGGAGAGGGGAGTCAGAAGTAAAAAGGGACATATTGAGCCTGGGGGGGTCTAGAGGCAACACATTTAACACACTTAAGTGAAAAGGAAGCATGAGGGAAAAACAGGAAAGTAAAACCCAGGTCAGAGTAAGCTGATCCTTTTCTTCCCTCCAGTCTCGCATTCACGGATATCCCTGACTTGTGAGTGTGTTACCATCTAAGAAGGTGACTCAGAGGAAAAAGCCGAGGGGGAAGAAATCTCAAAATCAAGTTACACAGCAAATCCTTATAGCTATTTTCTTGGATTCCCTCCTGTGTCCATGCAATGTCTAACCACACTATTTCTTAATGGAAATGAATTCAGAGGAAATAGGCTGTGGGCAGCCACTTAACTCCTTTATTTATTAAACCCCATAGTGTTTCTCCTCCCCAAGTAGATCCATTCCCTTCTCCGCAGAGAAGTGCTGTGTGGGAAGCCCAGGAGGCTTACATGACTGACCTAGAAGCTCAGGGTGGGAGGCAGGGAAGAGCCTGGGTAGAGGATGCATTAAACCCTGCAGTCAACACCCAACAGACTGGGGAATTGACAGATGACTGGAATCACAGAAGAGATGAGAGCAATTTTTTGCTAACGTCTTTCCGGGGCAGGAGATAGGATCTGAGAGACCTAGACCCTAGAGAGACTATACATCATTATCCTTGTCTGCCCTCTAACCCCAGGAACAAAATGCAAGTTGAGCCAATGCTAGGGCAAAGAAGAATTATATTTTCAGAGGAGCTGATAAAGAAATAGGCCAGCTCTCCTCCCAGAATCCTTGTTGAAGAATACCTAAGAGGCAGAAAACAGCCTGAGAAAGAGGAAGGGGAATGGAAGAGGAAGAGGAGAAGTTGCTTCATTGTCCAGATATTAACTGTACCTTCATGTCACTACAGGATATGATAATGAACTTTTCAAAAATGAGAGTGACAATTGCAGTGAGGAGTGACTTGGCCTGATCTGGATAACTTGCAGAATGTCAAATCAAAAGGACAGGTGCTTTTGTGACATTTGCCTCCCTTGAGCTCACAGGCAACAGTAGGACTGTTCCACATTTCTGACTGTATTTAGATCTTTGTGGATGAATGTGTACTCAGTTATGTGCATGCAGTTGTGCTCCTTCACCTTGGGGGCCATCAGGGTGTTGCATTCCCTGGCCATCAGGTGAACCCTAAGATAGTCTTTGTTGCTCTGAAAGAGAGCCTCAGTTCTGAGCATCTTGTTCCCTCCAACTTCATCTTCGCTGAGGACAGTGTCTTCTGGCCAGCCAGGTGGCACCACTCCTTTGTTGCTAAGCAGCAAGGTTTCTGTGGTTCGAGTGCCCCCTCCCTCCTTAGTGGCCTTGGCCTCATCCTGTGAGTCACTGGACCAAAATTCATTCAGCAGCTCATCGCTACCCTCCAGGACAGCTGCGGCCATGTGAAGGCCCAATCCTAGGCCCGTCCCGAGGCCCAGCATCAGCAGCACCATCATGAAGCAGATCTGCACCAGAGTCAGCCTCATTTCACCAGGAGGAGGGGAACAGAGGGCGGACTCTGCGATGAAACCCGGCTCCAGTAGAGACCCTAGGCCCCTAACCCCTGACAGGATAGCCTGTGGGGTCTCCTTTCTCTTCACTCACCCCATCCCCACCAAGGCAGAGGTCCTTCCCCAGTCTTTTCCCATCACTCCTGTCCCTTCCCGCCACAGTCCCTGTTGTTGTGTAATAATGTGTGGTCCTTCCAAACAAAAAGATGGCCAGGGGAAGCAGTTCTGAAATTGGTTCACAAACGGGGAATCAGTGGGCAAAGTTGTCATCAATTGACTCTTAAATCAAAATTAGTGGCAAATAACCCAAGAGAAAGGTTGAGAAGACAGGTAAGCACAGTATCATACCTTCCAAGAAAGACATTCTTAGAGCCCTGTTCCCAGCAAAGGCCTAGAATTATTGCAGGAGACCAGCTCTCTACTTTTATCCCAAATTTATTTTTGCTCATTCAAGTATCTGTTATTCTCCTTGCCACCCAACCTCCCCAAAAATGATCAGCAGGAAGAGAAAAAGTTTTACAATGCTGAGGCCAGGTGAGAGCGACTGCTGGGTCTCACACATCAGGGCCCTGCTCAGACTACATCTTGTTGTGCCAATCCCTTCTACTACTAAAGATCTCTTAGCACTTGGGTGTCTCCTGCTGGTTAGTTTTATACTATTAAGGAAATAATGAAAGAAGAATGAAACCAAAGGAAACCAAACAACTGACCTCCTGGGTTCCCCTACTAATAAGGATCCTCATGAGAGCTGAGAGAAGTAGCCTGCATCTTTGTGCTGCTAGGCCAGTCTCCTCCCCCTATCAGGGAGAGACCTCTGCCAGGAAAAAAAAATTTCTTAAGAACATTATTAGACAATTGATAAAATTAGAATATATTCTGTGGAAAAGATAGGAGTATTATATCATTGTTTGATAAACTGAATTCAAAATTTGTACTGTGATCATTTCAGATAATATCTTTGTTCTTAGAAAACGAAACCCTGAAATATAAAGGAGCAAAGGAGCATGATGTATGCGACCTGTTCTCAAATGGTTCAAAATATAGATGTATGTATGTGTGTACATGTGTGTTTATAGACAAAGAAAGAAAATTAGTTTTTAAATGAGGGGAAAGGTTTTTCAAAATTGTGTATCTGGATAAAGGGTATCCAGGAGTTCCATATTGTTTTTATGTACTTTTCCTTAAAGTTGAAAATATTTCAAAAAAGTTCTTTTAATTTTTAGAAGAAAAAGAACTTCCCAGTTATTCACAGTGACACCCAACTCCACTGTGACTTACCTACACACCTAAGTAGCTTCAAAGATTCTTGTGTCCTCCTGTTCCCCAGGTTCTTCCCTCCCAGGGTTTCCCTCTCTCTGTGTAATACCCAGGATGCTGGTCTGCAGAAAAATGGGTATCTCCCAGTGGGTCATGTGTTTTTAAACACAAACTTCCTTCCTAAGCCCACGCACCACCCCCGCACTCCCCCAAACAGCACTGAATAAAATCACTCAGCCAGTGCCCCACTCTGTTTCCACAAACACTTTGAAGGAAGGCTATATGAGCATTGGGGCAGATCCAGATACCCAGCACAGGAAATGTCTCCACCCTGTGAAGCGGCAGTTTTGTCTTGACAATTTTTCCACTTGAGTTACACCCACTATCCTGCAGTTTACAGCAGCTTGACATTGCCTTAAATTTTAAACTAACTCATTTCCTTCTGTTCTCTAACTGTCCTTCCTTTAACCCTTTCCTGCCATTTCTGGAATGTCAAAATCTTGGCCTTTATTTGGGTCATCTCTCCAACATAGTTATTTTGCTTTTCACATTTTAGAATCACGTATCATGACTTCACTGGAAGATCCGGAGTTTTTGGCAATTACAAATGTTCACCTATCTTTTCCTCTGAAGGCTATCCCAGACTTCCACTCTCTATTTCCTCTTTCCTACCCCCAGACAGTAACTGTATTCCATGAGAACATTCAGATTTTACAAGCCTGATTATTTAGCTGTGGATAAAACCTTTTCCAGAGCAGCATCATCACTCCCAATCCTTACAGCCTGGGGGAGTAAAACCAGGAGGGTTATAATGTTGATTCTATTCACTTATCTTTAGCTAAAAGCAACATCATGAGATAATATTTTTAAGAGCACTCTGGAGATTATTAAAGCACTATAAAAACCCTCTCTAGACATGAACAAGGCCTTTTGGAGGATATTTTGCCTTGTCATTCAGGCAGGACTTTTCAAATGGTGGTCTGGGAGTTGTTTCTGTGATCTGCATTCTGTCAGGCTCATCTTTTGCAGGGCTGATATTGATAATTTACAATAATAAGAATAACAACTAACCAATATTGAGCACTTACTTAATGCTAGGCATTCACTGCATTTCACCCTCATGATTTGCTCATGCCGCCCCTCTCAGGTGTCCACTCTGCCCATGTGTTCTAGTGAGGTATCTCTGCAACATGCAGAAGGAATAATCCTTTCCAGAACCCAGTAGCTGTCTAGAGTCATCTGGGATAATATATTCAACGACATGCATCATCTGTTTCTTTATAATTGGGGTATTCTAGCTACTGTTAGGGATTGTTTAAAATTAACATTTGATTAAACATGCAGAAAGAACGATCTGTCATCCAAGTATTTAGACAGACAGGTTTTGTTTTTTTCCTTTTCTAGGCTACAGTTTTCTTCTCTCCTAAATTAGAATAATAGCAGCTTTTATTTCATAGGGATGTTGTGAATATTATATACAACACAGCATGTAAGACAGTAAGCACATTCACTGTTGTTGGTACTGTTATCGCTGTTACATAGCAATTGCCAACACAGGCTCATTGGCTCATCAAGGCCATTTTCATATTTAGAAATAACACATACTAAGGACTACAGCTGCTCACATGGCTCACTGCTTCACCTAGAAGAATCTCAGAGAAAGAATTAAGGAATTACAGACAGATGCTTCATTTTATAGTTAAGTGACTTGAAGAGATGAATATCTCAGATAAGTAATGGCAGCTCTGATATTAGAACTCCTTTGACTTTTAGTTAAGCAAAATTTATGATAGTATAGAGAGATGATAGATAATAGGTAGGTAGATAGATGTAGAGACAGAAAACAGATACTCTGATTAGAAAATTGGCAATGAATCCATCCAAGACTTAGATTCTGAGTGCTATTTCTCATTGTAAATTAATTAAATAGGGACTTCCACTTGTGGTCAAGATGGGATAACAGTGATGGATTTTGCCAGAAACTCCTAGAAAAATGGACAAATTACATGAAACAACAGATTTTCAAGACATTGGACAACAGGGAATAAAGAGTAATGAGAAACAAATGAGACGAACTTACTCCTCAGCTTACTCCTGGAAGAGTTTCTAGGCCATGTGGCAGAGAGGGGAAACCCAGGCAGAGTCTGTCAGTCTCCCTGAGTTGAGGAAGTAGAACTGGGAGTCCAAGGAGGTCAGGGCAGCTACCAGAGGGGTCAGGACTGCAGAGAAAGAAAGCCAGAGATTTGCAGTGGGGTGATACCTCTCACTATCACCTATCAGAATGGCTAAAATGAAAAAAATAGCGGTAATACCAAACACTGATAAGAATGCTGATGGGAATGTAAAATGGTACAGTCTGCCTGGAAAATCGTTTGTGAGATTCTTCAAACACTAAATATGCGCTTATCATACAATCCAGCAGTCACACTCCTGGGCATTTATCCCAGAGAAATGAAAGCATATGACCACACCAACAAACAAAAATGTGTGTACACACAAAAACCTGGTTGTGAATGCTAACAACAGTTCTGTTTGAATTGGCCAAAAACTAGAAACAGACCAAATATCCTTCAGCAAGTGAAGGGCTAAATACCCAGAGTCCATGTGCACCATGGAACTACTCAGCAACGCAGAGGAAGGAACTACTGATACACACTACAACCTGGTTGTATCTCCAAGGCACTATGCTGAGCAGAAAAAAAATTAAATGGTCATGTACTGTGTGGCTCCACTTACATAACATTTATATAATGTGGATGACATAGTAGTGGTTACTAGGGGTTAAAGATGTAGGGAAAGGAAAGTGGGTGTGACTGTTAAGCGGTACCACAAAGGAGCTGTTTGTGGTGATGAAATGACACAGAACCACATACACCCATTATGCTAATGTCAATTTCCTAGTTTTGCTATTATACTGTAGTTAGGTGAGATGTAATCACTAGGAGAAACCAGCCGAATGGTACATGGGATCTCTGAGGACTACCTTTACAACTTCCCGGGAATCAATAATTATTTCAAAATAAAAGGTTTTTTAAGTGCTAATGTTCATTACAGAAGTTTTATATAATAGTATAGAGAAATACACACACAAGACCCTCATCCAGGACTATTATTTACATGTTGGCATACATCTGTGCAATCTTCTCCCAGGCCACCCAACCCTGTGTGGATGTGAAGTGTGATATATCTATTAAAATGACAAGATGAGACGTCAAATGGCAGTGACTATAGTGAATACAGAACTCTAGAGTTCAGAGGCGTCCTGCTGGAAATGTAAATTTGGAAGGCATCAGCATATGATTACGTATCTAAAGTCATGAGACTGAATGAAAGTGAGGATCAAGGAAAGGTTGGGTTTTTTTACTTTGTTTTCTTTTTAAGAAAGGAAAAATGATAGCTTGTTATTGATAATAAAAACCAAGTAGAGAGGAGAAACTTATAATGCAGGAGAGAAAGGACAGAACTGTTGGAATAATGATTTTTGAGAGCTCAGACTCTGAAGATGGCCTGACTGGGCTGAAGTGTGCTAACAGAAGTGGTTAAAGTGTTACTTTATCTACAAATTACACTGCAAGATAGTAAAGGGGGCATAGCACTTTGCTCTGAAGGGTTGGGTCTGGTGAAATGGTTGAGAACCACTAGTTTACAAGAATTCAGTGATCAGGACTTGCTACACGATGCACATAGGACCTTTCCTCCATTCTGCACTCTACTCCTGC